TAAATCTAAGCTTTAAACTTTAAGCTTTGTTAAATAGTAGCTGTGCTGAATTGAAGTGGGTTGTCCGTATTTCCTACTCGGCTAAGATCGTAAGTAAATACTTTCATCTGTTAACTATCTTGCCTGACATCGAGCCATAGTTGCATCCAGGATGACTGCGAACTGCGGTCGCCTATAGCCACTGGAATAGGCGGCGACATTCTTGCCAGTATTAATGAACTTTTATTGGCAGGTGCTCTTTGAAATAAAGCGTGTGAGCGAGCAGGACACATATGTATTTAATTGCGATCCGCGATCGAATTTCTCTGCCATCGCCTTGTGTGCGGGTGGTCTCGGCAGCTTACCACCACCGCCTCGTGCGCTCGTGATCAGGGGTAACCACCCATCAGGCAGCTACGAACATAATATGTTCCGAATTTTACTTCTCGGCGTTCTCGACGTTACTGCTGGATGTCGTATTAAGGCGAAGAACACCATCGTATTTGACGTCTCATAGCGATGAAAAAATAATCCTTGCTCAAGAGCCACTATAGCAACACTACGGGATATTCCTAAACTCAATAAGGACCTTGTTAGAGCTTTCACTTTAACGATTTTCTACACTTTCTCCGAACTACACTGTCCCCTGATTATTCCATATGGTGAAGGAGTTCATACCTGACGTCCCATAGCAATGTAACAGCAATGATCTTTGGATTAGAACCACTATAGCTATTACTTTAACGACTTTCTATCTGAATTAATCATGACTGCTTAGTCCTCGTTCACTTGGTGAAGTTATTCACACCTTGACGGACTTAGTGATTTAATTCTGTCTTGCAAGCTCCTTATTTGTGTGTTGTTGATTTAATTCTTTATACTTAGCCCCCTCCTTCTCAGATACTTTGTTAATACACCTGTTGTGCAGTGGTCTTGGTGATCTCGTGGTTGCCTTTCAACATACTGATATTGATGCAAGGGTTGACCACAGTCTTTATAAAAACTGAGGATGAGAGGTATATCGTTGTTAGTCATGTCAAATGAACCAGCAATCGTGTCTAGAAGCTTGTCGAAGTGTCATCGGGTTGAGGCAAGTGAATTATTTCAGCCATTTCAGCCTGTTAGAGCTCGGCTCATTCGCAATTTTCGTAAGGAGTTTAAGTATGCTATAATTGACAACTTACTGGGTTTAAGTCTTAAAGAACTTGCGGGAGCTACGTATTAATACGTGAATCGTGCTTGTCCTTCAGTGACTACATGTTTTGTTTGCCACCGGACATTCATCCAATTCGTTCGAACCCCCAGAACCCTGTTATTATGAGGTCGACTTGGTCGGTTCCATGTTACGGGTAGCGTCTGAGTTTGGCACTGTTTCAGTTGTTGTTTTACTATCTTGAATCAATTGAAAATAGATATAAAAGATATAATGGCTTTGCAGAACGACCTCAGTACCTAAAAGAGCTAGAGACTTGAAATTTGATCGTAGGTCCAGTAGGACTAGAACTAGTAAGTTCCCACGCAGTTTGTTTGTGTTTCCGATCATAGGTAATTATTCCCGTTTCTAAGTATCTAAGTAAGTCGATATCGAAATCCTGTTATGTGAACATATCTCTTAAATTTTAAGAGCTGCTAGACTCAATGAAATTGACCTGTAACTTTTAGTAACATACATGGAATATATTTGTTACATAATATAAGTATGTTTAAAGATAAAATTACATATAATAAAGTTACATATAATGGTATATAATAGCAGTTCCTTGATATCCAATGCGATTGCAGACATCGCGGGAGGGACTTATACAAAACTTCCAGAGACTACTCATAATATAGGTACCAGTATTAAACCATTCTTATCCAAAAATCCATATTGAAATACACTGCTATGATGATTCCATGAGAGCTTACAGAGACTGTATTATAGTTCGCACTCGTTGTTCAGAAGGCTTAAAAGTTTTATTGACGAACCAAAAACGAAAGGAGCTCATTAGTATCGTCCATAAATCGAAGATTCAAGTAGCTACGCTAAAAGTAAGTAAGTAAGCTGGAGCCAACTTCTCAAACAATAAAAAAAAAATACATGCTTTCGAATGCAAAATACGTCTTACGAAAATCGGGGTTTTACAAGCAAAAAAGCTCCGCATTCTATCTGGTACACCCAGGTACATTCGAGCTTCCAATTTGGAAAAAGGACTCAGAGTGCCCAAAGTCCGGAACCCTATAATTATACAGACTGCGAACTATATTACGCTGCCTGGAAATCGTCGAAATCACCTGGCTAGGCGCCTACTAAAGACACGCAGAATTGGGGGAGTCCGAATGTGGAGGAGATTTCGGAGGTCTCATCCAATTGATCTCTCAGATCACTTTATATAACCACCCTAGCCTAGTAAAATTTTTCTTTGTTTGGAATAAGAGGTTTGCCCAATTTACTTAGTAATTAACATTAAAATGTTGGCTCTTTTTTGTATTTAATTGGTAAAACAAATTTAATAACCTGAATATCCGTCATTTTTCTAGACTTATTTTATCATCCTTGCGCAAACGATATCATCTTATTTTTTTTTGCCATAATGTTTAAAATTTCTCGTATAACTTCACCCCAGGAGTTTTCAATAGGATTGATGTCTGGGGATTGACTTTTTTTGCAGAAATGTCCACAAATTTATAATAATATTCTAGGCATTTGGGAGCAATTCCATCCCCAAAAAATTTTTATGTCCATTCTGCCATCAATTCAAAAGATCGGATCAACTTTTCACAAGGAAGAGGACAATACTATTGTGCTGCCACCTTCTTTGGATGCCTTACATCATTCGTTGATTACCAGACTACGAACATTTCTTATACCATTATTATCATAACAAATGTATATTTTTTTCATCACTCCCGAGTATTTTCGATTTTTTTTCATCACCCTTTAACCAGAATCTGGATTGTGTGTCTAACAAAATCGTTAAACGAATCCAGACCCTAGAATTTAGTGCCGACATTAAAAACGCATAGAACGTCTCACTTCGGTCTTGGAGGGACAGTCTGGGATGCACCCGTTCCGTCGGAACGTCGGGAACGGAGTTCTGATTTCGGGGGAGCTTTCCCCGCCAGAGTGCGCTGAACACCCACGGGCTTCTCCCCATAAACGACCCACATTTGCACCAAAATCGGATGAACTACCGGGCTAAGCAAGCATAACAGCTTGCGGCGATGATCCAATGTATTTTCTCTCATGCACAGGATCTGGGGGCGATGGTGTCGCGAGTACTTCTCCGGTCGGCAATCCAGCCAAGTTGACAATGGAGGCCCGCAACGTGGACGGCGAGCACAACTTGCCGCCGCAGTAGTCTGAAAGACGCTGTTCCTCATAGTTGCCGACAAAATTTTAATAAATGGTTTGCAAATGGTTTCAAACATACAACTTATTATGGGCTTACCGCTGTACCAGAATTATCTATTTATTCTAAAGAAAATAAGTACAAAATATACCCATTGATAATGGTAACGAGAAAGAAAGGCTATCTTCGGCACGCCGAAGATCTAATACCCTTGCAGACCCAACCTTTTCATAATGCTTATAGTGCTTTGCCCGTATCTAAGAAGACAAGGGCAAATAGTTAATGCCGAGTTTGGTCAAGATATCTTGATAAACAAAATGTTCTTTCATACAAAAACTTAATTTTCGACCGATCGTTCCTATGGCAGCTATATGATATAGTATTCCGATCTTAATAGGATTTTGCATATTTATGAGGACCTTAGTAAAACTAATAATTGCCGAGTTTGTTCAAGATATCTTGATAAACAAAATGTTTTTTCATACAAAAACTTAATTTTCGACCGATCGTTCCTATGGCAGCTGATGAATATATATATTTTATGGGGTCGGAGATGTCTCCTTCTATGCGTTACACATTTCACGACAAAATTGTAATACCCTCTGCAAGGGTATAAAAAATTGTATACTGCTTTTGTGCACATGTATTTAAATAAAGAAAGAATCTCTAATCCTGCAGGGTACATATATATTTGCTCAGCACCAATAGCCAAATCGATACAGCTTTGTCCGCCGTTTGTCTTTCTGTCGATCCTAATGAATGACCCTATCGTTATCAGAGATAATAAGATGATTTAGTGTCCACGCTTTGCGAGTTTGTTTCAAGTCTTTCTATTAACTATAAAATCGAGAGACCTGCAATTTAGAACGCAGTATTTTCAATCATCGATAACTCAGTCTGTTTAATATGTAGAGGTTGTATAGTATTATACAAACTGATTCAGAATATTTTTTCGATATCTCCCGCCGTTCGCCCAAAGAAAATGTATAACTTTAGTTTTTCTTAACCGATCTTTATGAAATTTTCTACAGTATATCTTATTGTATCATAGAATATTTGTGTATTCTAAAAAAATCAATTGCATTTAAATTGTGGTTTAAATTGGTTGGCAATAAAAGTTGGGTTATTAACTTGATTTATAGCTCTATGGTGGTAGCGGGGAGGTGGCGATAGGTATGAAATGAAGGATACTTGAAATATCTATAATATTCTAGAAGCAACATATCATGTTTGGTGGCTCTAGCTCTTATTATTTACCCAATTTGCTTAAAAAAACAGGATGTCGATATCGATTTTTTAGGAGCATCTACATCTAAAATTTCAAGTCTCTAGCTCTTATAGGTTCTGAGATCCTTTGGCTCATACATTTGGACAGACGGACGGACGGACAGACAGACGGACATGGCTAGATCGACTCGGCTATTGATGCTGATCAAGAATATATATACTTTATGGGGTCGGAGATGCTTCCTTCTGCCTGTTACATACATTTGGATTTTGCACAAATACAATATACCCTTATACCAATTTTTAATGGGTTCAGGGTATAAAAATAACTTCAAAAGATTGAACGCGCTGGATTTGGGGTACCTTTTAATCTTCCCACTTAGTTGCTTTTAATCTATCTTTATAAAAGAATGTGCAAAATATGCAAATGTATATATTAACAAGAATATAACATTTTTTCAGAAGTCAATCATTTAAAGAGGACGACGGCACATGGAAAGGAAATGATGATGGGAAAGTTGTGAACAATCAACCACAACGGGTAATGGATGATAGAAGTGGAATGATGGCTCAATCTGGGTATATTGGCAGGTTAGTTAATCAGCTAATGAATTTTGCTGTTGTACTTTTTATTTTTATAATAAAGTTATAAAATATTTAACGCGTAGAAAGAGGCATCGTTGAGCCCAGCCGATTTGATATAAACATGTCAGTCTCTTCGAATATCTTTTTCTTTGCGAATTAGTCTCTCAGCCATCATCTTAAGACTTCGCAATCGAAGAAACAGAAATTATTAGTTTGCAGCTAGCGCAAATTGCAATAAATTATTGTGTACATGTAAACATAACCATTCATGCGCGACTTTATTAAATTCTATTAACAGCATTACGAATTGTGCTTCCGACTAAAGGCGGTAGCAAGAAGTGCGGTCTGTGGCGGGTTCGAGTCCTGTCGAGGAACTTTTTTTTGAACCCTGAACCCATTAAAAATGGGTAAAAAGGGTATAATGTATTTGTGCAAATGTATGTAACAGGCAGAAGGAAGTATATCCGACCCCATAAAGTATATACATATGTATATATTCTTGTCCGTCCGTCCGTTTGTCCATCCGTCTGTACGAATGTATGAACGCAAGGATATCTAAACCTATTAGAGCTATAGACTTTAAATTTGTTCGTTATGTAAAACGTTTGTTAAGCAAAACCATTATTCCCATATAAATCAATGTAAAATAAAATAATAAAAGATTTGAAAAAATACACCAAAATATTTAAAGTTCAGCACTTATTGAAAGTTAAATGAAACGTATAACAAGTAAGAGGTTTTAGTCGGGAGCTCCCGACTAGGGGATACCTTGAACCCTCTCCTTCCAACATCAAATGCATATATATATTCTATTTTAGAAGCTATATGTCAAGTTTGGTGACAAGCTCTTATTTTTTACCAAAATTGCCCAAAAACAGGATATCGATATAGATTCTTATCGATTGCTTGAAAACGGAGTAAGCTATCGATTATCGGAAACAAACTCGATCTGCGCAGGAACTAGGAGCATTTACATCTAAAATTTCAGTCCCTTATAGGCTCTGAGATCCTTGCGTTCATACATACGGACGGACGGACGGACTATTGATGCTGATCAAGAATATATATACTTTATGGGGTCGGAGATGCTTCCTTCTGCCTGTTGCATACATTTGGATTTTGCACAAATACAATATACCCTTATACCCATTTTTAATGAGTATAAGAAACGAATTTAAATAGCAGCACAGAAAACAATACAATCGCAATTACAGTGTTGCTGATAGAATTCAAAGCAGACGCGCATGATGTAGATGTAGATGCTCCTAGCTCCCGCGCAGATCGAGTTTGTTTCCGATAATCGATAACTTACTCCGTTTCCAAGCAATCGATAAAAATCGATACCGATATCCTATTTTTTGGGTAATTTTGGTAAATAATAAGAGCTAGAGCCACCAAACATGATATGTTGCTTCTAGATTATTATAGATATTTCAAGTATCTTTTATTTCATACCTATTGCCACCTCCCCGCTACCACCCCAGAGCAATAAATCAAGTTAGTTGAACCCATTGAAAATGGGTAAAAAGGGTATATTGCATTTGTGCAAAATTTAAATGTAAATAAAGCATCTCCGACCCCATAAATTATATATAGTCTGCTGATCAAGCATCAATAGCCGAGTCGATCTAGTCATGTCCGTCTGTCTGTCTGTCCGTCTGTCCGTCCGTCCGTCTGTCCGTCTATTCGTATGTATGAACGCAAGGATCTCAGAACCTAAAAAAGCTAGTGACTTGAAATTTTAGAGGTAGGTCCTCCTAGTGCCTGCGCAGATCAAGTTTGCTTCAGATAATCGACAACTTACTCCGTTTCCAAGCAATCGAACAAAAATGGATATCGACATCCTGTTTTTTTTAGGAAATTGGGTAAATAATAAGTGCTAGAGCCACCAAACATGATATATTGCTTCTAGAATATTATATATATGTCAAGTATCTTTCATTTTATACATATCGCCACCTCCCCGCTACCACCGCAGAGCTATAAATCAAGTTAATTACCCAACTTTTATTGCCAACCAATTTAAGCCACAATTTAAATGCAATTGACTTTTTTTGAATACACAAATATTCAATATCAATTATTGGTACAATAAGATATACTGTAGAAAATTTCATAAAGATCGGTTAAGAAAAAACCAAATTTATATGTAACTGCGCGATTGGATGGCACAGTTAGCGAAACTTCAAGATTTCTGTATACATGTACACACACACATTCAAGCGCGTCTGCTTCGCATTCTATCGCATTCTAACAGCATGGTAATTGCGACTGTTTTCTGTTCTACTATTTTAATTTGTTTTTTTCCTCAATAATACATAAATATTGGTGTGGCTCTTGAGTAAAGGCATACCAAGTGGTGCGGTCTGTCGCGAGTTCGCAACTTCGCCATGCCTAGGAACATCTCTCATATTCTTCACCTCATGGTGATAAATTCCTACCAAACTCCAATAATTATTTCGCTTCTCCTGTTAATTTTATAAATGCTAGAGCCAGACCACCATGTAAAATGCTATGAGGAATTTTACTATATTGTAGCATCAGTTCAAAAAACAGGCTGGTAATTGCACACTTTTTGAGCAAAAACATTTTTTTTTATAGTTTTAAAATTCTTTTATTTCCAGCTAATTTTCTGTTAATTTTGATTAGCAACTTTTATCAGCGTGAGTTTTGGTTAATGATAGCTTAATTTATATATTGACAATGTGTATGTTTGTGTACATTTTAATTTTACTTCATTAAAGGCGGCGTTTGGCCAGGTATATGGGATATGTCTTTTGATGTCGCCTTCTTCTTCGCCTTCTTAGCAGGTTCCTTGCCAGGATGTTATTGTGATTGCGGAGCTTAAATATGTAGCTTGCTGCTTGCTGGTTGATGATGTCTCCTACCATAGAAACCTTAAAGTCCTTCTCGAATTCTCGTGTGCGAATATACCATTCGGCTCCAAAAACATAAGCAGGATTCGTGCGAATCAGTCGAAGAGGCTACCACACGAAAAAGTGTTATATATTTCACAGAATCCGGGTATACTTTTTGATCGTAAATTGTGTAAAAGGCCCCACTTGTAAAAGTGGCCCATTTCGTGATGGGCCAAGGATCCAAGGTGTGAGGCGCAAGGGGTACTTGATATGATAAATAGGCGTATCCAAACGTATCCAAGCGTATCCAAGCTCAAATGCGCAGTTAAAATGTGCCCTTTACTGTTGGAAGTCGGTAGAAACGGTTTCGTAAACTGTTAGGATGATCAGTACAGTGAATAATATTTAAAGGTCTGGACACATCAAGGACAATGCCCTTTGGGAAAGAACTTAGATTTGTCAGCGTATCTATGCTCTATTACGGTAGCCTTCTATCTGGAAATACCAACTAAATGTGCCTTGCCCATAGCACCTTGCCGAATCCGTCACTTCTGACGTATAGCAGGACCAAGATTGTGATGACGGATCTTGTCCACGACAAATGGGGCGAAGGTTTCGATATCGTCAGACGACTGGATGGTATGGGACCCATGACCCACTAACGATTTTAGCCATTCCTTGGAGCACTTGGCCTACGAACCTTTGAGGATGCTCGTGTTATTATTGCTCGTATAAGTTGCCACATACGCGTTACGCTAGCCTAAAGGTGAAAATTGGGCAGCGAACAGATAATGATGGCTTGTGGACTAGTCGATGACACAGGGAACATTGCAACCAATGAAAGGGAAAGTGGAAGCGGTTGCTGAAGGGAGTTTCCGACAAAAGCGTACAGAACATAAAAAAAACAATTAACTGAGTTCGAAAAAGAGTAAAGCTTCGTACATGTGTGTTTGTGCTTATGGCATTAAATTGCATATGTAGAAAATAGTTAGCATAAGTTGATTTTAATTGATAGTAAAAAATCTGATTGAAATAAATAAATAATATACAAATGAGGTATATCAGCAAACATCCCGAATGCCTTGATAGAACTAGAAACAACAGAGTCTGGAGGCAGTACGAATGTGTGCGACACGAACAACTGACTCTTTACGCACTAATTTCAAATGCATAGGCGTTGTTTTCATTATGTATGACAACCAAAAGGCCAACCGAGAGATTTTGGGAAGGCGAAGACCAACGACGCTAAAAATTGCTGTTTGATGGGCATGATCTGATCGTAATGATATCAGTTGGAGATATTGTTGGTGATAATCTCACGCCCCCGGTAAAGCTCGCGTTGCATCTCCGTGAAGGAAGTGTTCAGCAGTAACAGTGCTAAATCAGTTTGTTAAGTTAAGAGCTGCTTCTATATCAACGAGAGAGAATTCGCTCACAGAATTTTTTTATATGTGAACCATGTTGTGGCTTTAAAGCTGTTGCAATTTTGATTTGAAAGTCGATTCTTAGGCTTTCAGGCACACATTGGTTCAGTGACTTTGCTTCATGGGCTCGCCGATAAATTCTACAAGCACTTACGTTCTATGGGGATTGAGCAGCTATATTGCATTATTGTGCAAGTGCAGACATTGGATCTGGCAAATTAAACAAAGAGGGGGGAACGCCTAGAAGAGCAGGACTTTATCATTGAAATTTCTACATTGGAATCCATGGCTGCACTGCAAAACTTCAGAAATGCTATTGAAACTAAACGGCCAGGTGGGCAAGAATAGAATTTGAACCAACATTAGTTCCTCACTTGTTACAACTTACTTAATTGTTTTTGGCTGTGTTCCGAGCTATAAAGCCGGTCTTGCCAGTAACTGTGGTCCGAAATCTTTAGATCTGTCTCACGTGTTTTACAGAAACAAAGAATCTTGCTCTTTGCATAAAGAAGAGGCACCAACCGAGTGGTTGCCATAACAGCTGATTTAATACCAGACCCTCCTCCACCTTTGTTTGCTATTATCTCTCGTTTTCTTCAACACAAAAAAATAATTCCTCTGCGTTAAACTCTACCTTGTCGAGCTCTGCTTCATCTTACCTAAGGTCTGCCGTAACAGTACCGCGCTTGTGATTATTCACGAGCAATAGTCCAAACTAGGTAAA